GCTGTCTTTACCAACGTCATCTGCAGCCACTGAGAGAAGTTTCAGTACTTACAGTTTTATCCATACTAAAAAAGGGAATTGCTTAACTGCACAGACAGCCGGCAAAATAATGTTCGTAGCTGCGTAGCTCATAACAATAAATTTTTACTACACAAACAAAAAGAGGATATGGAGCATGATATTCAACAACATGAAACTCCTCCAGAACCACTAGAACCTGTAGAGGTAGAGGTCTATCATTCAGAATCAGAACAAGATGATACATCAAATATATCTGATTTGGAAATAGAAACTGACGAAGACAGTACCACAAATTAACTACAACAGATGCGAAAGAACACCGAATTACGCGTTCAGGTTTCTGTGACCTTCAGAAAGAGTTCATAGACAATCCGCATCAATGTATAGTTTGGGTTATTATTTGTTTGGGTGAAAATAATCTGCACCAATATGTTATCGAGGCATATAATCTCACAGTAATTTAATAGATTGCTCGTCATATTATATCAGTTCGTAGGAGATTAGGAAAAAAAAAGATATTTATAGTATAAAAATTAATTTATTTAACAAAATTTAATTAAAGATGTGACAAAATAGTTACTTTTCTATTGGTTCTATCGGACTTTTTTCGACTATATAAATCTTTATTTTTGTAAACTTTAATGCATAAAATATTTTCAATCTAATAAATAATTTAATGATGTTAAATAAGAGGAAATTTCTCACATGGGTGGTCAAATTCTATAGTTTTCATTATATCAAACAGCCTCTGAATGTTTTCTTCAGTGCAAAACTCATCAAAATTTAATATAAATAATTTTCTCATTTCCAGTAAATAAAATGAACAAATTTTTCCACTTTCATGATCGAAGGCTTTTAAATGGGTAAATAATTTCGAGTTATCCAGAGATTCGGATTCTTTTGCAAATTTTAGACAAATATCACATTGATGTATTTGAAGACCCTTTTAATTGATGTAGTCAAACATAATTAAAGGCATTTTGAGTTGAAAACATTTCTCAGGGGCTGTTTGATATAATGAAAACTATAGAATTAAACCACCCATCTGAGAAATTTCCTCTTATTTACATCATTAAATGATTTATTGGATTGAAAATATTTGATGTATTAAAGTTTACAAATAAAGATTTATATAGTCGAAAAAAGTCCGATAGAACCAATAGAAAGGTACTATTTTGTCACATTTTTAATTAAATTTTGTTAAATAAATTAATTTTTTATACTATAAATATCTTTTTTTTCCTTATAAATAAACACATTTGTATCCCATTTTAAATAAGATATACAAATTACCAAAACTTAGAAATAACAGTTCAAAAGTTCAACAAAAATCCTACACTCGTTTTTAAAAAGAAACATATAACCACGCACTATATCATTCCAGCAAGCGAATACGACACAGCATGGGTTTCCGGACTAAACGACTGGTGTATTTACACCACTCAATAGGCGTATGGGGTTTGCCGAGCGGTTTCCGATGCAGTCGCTTTCTTTCGCATCTGTTATAAGTAATTTGTGACAGTACTACTATTACTATAATACCCTATGAAGATGGGACCAGCTCGGGGCCTGAAAGTATTCCGGAATAGAATAATTCAGTTATTTGTGTTTTACGTTTTTTAAATGTATATTTCGTGCTTTTTTGTGTTTTTTTAAGTTCATAGTCATAGTTCATGGTTTATGTACATATGTACAATATATATGTATATATGTTGGTATCAAATGTCTATCTAATTTATTCCTTTACTGTATCAACAAAAAATATGTAAAATTGTAAAATTTCCTAAAATTTCATAAATTTCCGAAAGTTTCGGAAATTTCCTGCAACAATCAAAAATTTCTGAAATATTAACATCACTGCTCCTGGCTAATCTCCACTTTTTATTAAGCAAACCCGAAAAACTCTTCCGTAATGAGCGTCTGCCAGCACATTTACCCCTTTCATCCCCCACTGATCTCCGCCATCCCCTCCACCGTAACTACAACCACCAAACGGGAATAAAGAAGCGTTTAACGGGACTTTTAAGCTCGGCTTGGCCCTTTGTCTTTCGGCTATAAAGTAGCCGCTCCGCGCGGTTTTCGGCAAAGAACTTGAAAATTCTAAACCCAGAAGGATTCTTTGCTCTCTTTGTTTATTGTGTTCTACCGTTCAGATTTTCCGCGTCCTTTGTTAGAATCGCCCGATGGTAATTATTTTCATGCTTAGGAAACTCTAGGCTGAGATGAATAGATCGTGTATTTAATTCGTTTACTATTAAAGTGAGAGATTACCAGGAAATTTGAAGTTAACTATATTTAAATTTTTGTATACCTACCCTCACTCACTCTCTAATATACGTTTAAAATGTTTTTTTAATTTTTATTAAAAAAAAAAACGATAATTCTATCACTCGGTCGGACTTTGCAGCTCTGATTATTAAGGTCATTAAACCAAAATACTACTACATCTCTATCTCTGACTACTACTAATTGCTACTAACCAACAATATGTTTTGTGTAGTCTGTGGTCTGTTTTTGTTTGAATGTTTATTATTCATTTTGGGGATTTATTTTTAAATTAATGTTAATCTTTAGGCAACCAGTATTTCTTTTGCATTATCAAAATTGCCACTCTAAATTTTACATAACCAAATTGTTACTCTAAATCGCTGTCTTTTTTAGACAGATGTCACTTGTCTTGTCATTATTCAAATTCTCAGAATGCTGTTAACAAAAGTTTCATCTTAAAATAAAATTTTAATTAATCAAAATTATTTATCTCCATCATTTACCGGATTAATAAAAAAAATTGGCGCCGGGAGGCACGTATAGCCGCCCATACTAAAATATGTTAATAAAAAGTTGGTAGGCAGTTTTTTTAGTTTCAAAGTAAAGGAATTTTTCCAATTTTTTTTATCTCAAAAACTGCGACTGTGACTGATGTTATTACTATTACAAATTTTGTTGAAAATATTATTCCTAATCTTAAATTGAAAACCGCGTTTGGCTAGCTACTGTAATTTTGGAGTTACGATTTTTAAAAAATTTAACCCCCTCCCGTACCCTCTTACCAACCACCCACCCTCATCAAAAACTAATGGCCAGATTCTCGGGTGCCACAGTATTCTTGTGCCAAATTTGGTTAAAATGGGTTTAGCGGTTTTTGAGTTATCGTGCTCCCAAGTAGCATTTTCACGACTTGCGACCACATGTCTACTAAACACAACGTTGGATTAGTTACAAAAAATAGTTAGCTCCGTACCTTGGGTATTAAAATAAATGTAAACGTTGTTGTAACGTTGTGCCGACGTTGAACTAGTACTACAACAAAGTAAAAGCACAGGTAAAAGCTTCTGCGACGTCGAATAAACGTTGTCATGTAACTTTTTTTGCTTAAGTGATCTTTAGGTGATTCGGACAACGTAGTTACAATGTTGGGCAATAAAGAGTTTTCCGACGTCACTTTCAGGACCTATTCCAACGTTATGCAAACGTCGTCTGTTTTACTAATTCCAACGTTGTTTAGATTTCCTTATTCTAACGTTGGTAGGACGTCGAGCCACTACCTTTTTGCAACTGTATTGAACCATAACCTTAAATCTTAAATTTTCACTTCATTGCTCTGTTCAGTCAGACAGTTCAGTAAGCTGTTTTTGTTTTTATAAAAAAAGACTTAAAAATTAATTAAAATGGGACATAAGAAAGGTACATATAAAACTAAATTTAAATATACATCGACATATTACCAATACTTTATCCACTCCCTCGTTTATTTAGAATATAGAGGGCGGCACAAGCTAGACTCTAGGATGACTAAATTAGGCAATCTTGCGACTAGTATACTACCTGTTAAGGCTGAACTGCGACTTTATTAGTCCAGTATGCGACTACTCGAACTACTCCATCTTAATCTCCAAAACAACAAAGTGAAAGCCGCCATGTTGTTGAATAAGAAAATGTTTCGTTCCTAAAATAGTAATTCCTGCTTTTTGAATACATTAACTTGAAATATTTGACTGAATAAATTATTGAATAAATTATTCTCATTTTACTAAAAATTCAAGACATTTTTTAAAACTTCTTTAATTTTAAGGCCCATTAGTATTTTTCAAAGTAGAAACAAGACATTTATCAATAAAGTTGTTTGCGTTTAACTTTTTTGCCTTGGGTAACGAGTTACAGAGTCGGTGAAAGTGTTTCAATAATTATGATCTTCAAACATCCTCCACACTTAAATACTTTTGTTTTGTTTTCCTTTACTGCCATCTGGCATATGTCTCTAACTAAATCATAAAAATAATATTTTTACTATAATTATCCCAATTTAGGATAAAATGCGACTTAAACCCCATATTATTATAGTTTTGTATTTCTGTGAATTAGGATTTTAAACAACGTTGCAGTTTGTACTAAATTAGGCTGCTAGCCAACGTCGGTATCCAACGTCGTTTCGACCCAAAATTTATTCTCCAAACTAGTGCAGACTAGGGTTTGCACGAGTTGGACGTTTGGTTGCGTGACACGACGTTGTCCCGACGTCCAAATGCTGCTTGGGTGTTCCAGACAGACTGACACACAGACAGACAGAAACCATGAAAATATTTTGTATTTAGGCCATTTATGTCCCAAATAACTCATTTTGAGTGAAATCAAAAAAAAAAAAAATTGCCGATCTTAATAGCCTACCCATACCTCTTGGTATGGGCGGCTAAAAAGTTTGTAATTTATTTTTATACTAATGATTTTTTAATGACGTTTAAAATTCGAGAAAAAATAATTTTTTTGAAATAGAATTGTATGTCTGGAAACGTTCTATCATTTTGACCTCGCCAAAATTATTATCGATTGTCATTCCCCAGCTGTCTTTGACGCCGTTTTTTTTTATTTTACTGAAAATGTAATATTATGGATCAATTTAGTAAATTAAACAACGAGATCTAATACTATTATCAATATTATTATTAAAAAATATGATACATTCGTTATAGAGCCAAAAAAAAACAAACAAGCATTCTAGAACTTTATAATGTGATGTGTGCGTTCACCCAACTTACATTCTAAATTGTACTAAAAAGTGAAATTAAAGCTTTTCATAGTTGCATATCACTGGACAAATATTTTGAGCAATATTGACAATTTAAAATTACAATTACTATATACTAATGTCACCAAGGCCTCCACATATCGTTTGATTCAGCATTTCTCTCATTCAGTTCATTATACTGTTCGTTTCTGTGTTCCAGTCTTTGAGGTTCTTGATTTAACGGATTAAACAACTCAAAAGGTCTCGATTCTTCATGAGAATGAGACGAAAAATCGATATTCCTTTTTGAAATTGCGAGAAGCAACGAAGATCTTTGACCTTCCTGAAACGGTTCACTTGCCGGATGAACTAGTGTAGATGAAGGAACAACATGATGTGAAGTTTTGATTAATTTGCTTGGTCTAGACTCTTGACAGACTGTGATAGAGATTCCTTGATTTATCTCACTAAAAGACCTCTTAACACCACGTGAATTTGTTTGATTCTCTTCAAGATAAACTGAATCTTCTTTTTGCTGAGCTTGTCTAAACCGTTCTGCCTGATTAGTGATTGTACACAGCGGTTCTGAAACCTTCTTGATCACACTAATATGTTCAAAAGCTTTCTTTTCTTTATCTAAGTTTTTCTGCATCGGGAATCGCACAGTTTTCAGATCACCAGAAGATGAACAGTGTTTTTCTTTGTTAGTTTGTTCTACGGTTGAACTTATTTGTGGTACTTGATGATCTTCACCAATGTAGCTTGGTTTTGGACGGACTATGTTCGGATGCACCGGTCTGAAGCCTTTGGGAGAAAGAGTTACAGGTTCTGCAGGACTTCTATCTGGACTCACAGACCTAGGAGGCTCGACAGTTTGCGAAGTGACAGTTACAAAAGCACTTGATCTTTGTGGAAGGGTTGTAGATGGAAAATACGATAAGTTTGATGAGTTTGGGACAAGAAGAGCTAGTTCTCCTGTAGGTAGTCTAGAAAAGATGATATATAGTTAGATTCATGTTGCAGAAGAAGGTTTAAAATAGAGTTTTATATTACCTGCTTGGGATTAGTTGGATTCCTTGGGGTATCTGCACTCTAGGGTTATTATTTTGGTCTCCAGATTGAGAGTCTTGACTGGTAGTTGAGAAAAATGCCCCGGAAGGTATCATAGAAATATTTCCTGTAGGTTGTAATGAAAATTGATTGGCATGGTCCAGGCTGTTGATGCATTTGTGAAGGTGATTTGTAACTCTATCCCTGACTCCTTTTTCTATTGCGTCATTTTTAACCAGATATCTTTAGAAAAATAAAAAAAACTGTAAATTTGTGTTAATGAAACAAGGATTAATACTCAGTACCTGTCAATTTCGGTAGCACATTCGTTGAAGCCTGATTTGAATTTCCGTACCACTGACGGATCAGTGGCCATGGCTAAGGCAAGTTGTTGACGTTGGACGTTTTGGAGATGTTTGACTGCCATTTCGAGAATGTCTGCTTTTTCCAGTTTTGTATGACGAGCAGGCTAAAAAACAATAACATATAATCAGTAATATAAAACATAAAACATTGTAGTTATTAACTAATGTCTTGATTTTACTGTAATTGTACATTTTTGTTATATGAATTTGTATATTTTTAATTGGCATATTTTATACTCACGTCTTTATTCATGGCTTCCAATATGAGATTTTTGATTTCGTTTAAAAAATTATTGATTCGAGCTCTTCGTCTCTTCTCCATCAAAGGTTTGTGAGTTTTTCTTAGTTCGGCTTTTGACATTGAGACGTGGGGTTCTTGCATTGTGGGTTGATCATATTCGTCTTCACTGAACGACATTGTGTCAACTATTTAAATCTTATAAAAGAAAAGAAAATTTACTTGCTAATATTTTTTTTTAATTTTCATTAATATGCTTTTTTAGAAAAAAATGATTACTTTTTCTTCTCTATTTTATCTTTTTTTTTAATTTATTGTTTATATACTTTTTGTATTTATTGTCATTTTTTAATTGTTTATTTCAATAGATTTTATTTTTCTATTTTTAGTGAATATTTGTGTAAATCTTATTTTTTTGAGGAATATTTTTTAGCTACCTCTAAAGTATAAAAAAGTAAAAGGACAATAAAAATTTTAAAATAATTTTAGTAAAGCTTGTCCAACGAGTCAGAGTAGATTTTGACAAACGACATTTAAAAAATAATAAAAAATACAATTTGTGTGTGAATTAAAATGACAGAGAACAACTGACACTGGAGTTTTAATCATCTCCTCATTATGGGTATCGAAACGCTCGTCCAGTGCAAAAGTAAAGTGTTTTGGTATATTGTGGCGAATTAGTGTTTTATTGAACTGTCACTCTCATGTATGCTCTGTTTGGGCAGGTTTTTTGTATGTAAAGAAAAAATTATGACATATTATGTGATTTTGACTATATTTTATTTAAATCCTGGGTAACTTTTAATTACACAGGATGAATCTTAAATAATCACAAATATTTTTAGGGGTGGTAGATGGTAGATCCTGATAAAATAAACATATTTTTTCTTTACCGTTTATCAATTACATGAGTACAAAATAACAGAGTGATTTTAGTTTAAAAATTAGAAAAAATAACATCTACTACCTATGTTGCCATATTGTCGGGATATTATAATTTTTTTTCAAAAATATAAAATTTTCATTTTTTGAAAAATATACCACTACTAAAAGTATTTGCACTTATTCAAAAACTCACCCTGTATATATTTCTACTTTCTTTTTATTGTTTAATAAAGTTTTGTCCACTGTTGAAATCAAGATATACATAAAAGTAGAGCACACTTTTTAAACATAAATAAATCTATTTTCATGGAAATCTCAAATATATATATTTTTCAATATTACTATTTATTATTTTATTTATTTAACTTTTGTGCAATATTATTATTTTTAGAAAAATTAAAGTAAAAAAAAATAAAAGAAGGTAATAACAAGTTATAATTAATAAATAATTAGAAACCAAATTAAAATTATTTTTTTCTTTGCTTATTTTTACATGCAACTCTTAAACTTTTGTTAAAAATTATAAACTTACCTTTTAATAAATCCGAAAAATTCTCCTCCTTGATGAAACAATATCAAATAAACAAAATATATTTGATCAATAGAAACAATTATAAAACATAACAAACTATAAGGCACTTAGGTTCACTGTCACCACCAAACTCACGAAAATAAAAAAAAAACTGACACATACGAACTCCTAGTAGGCTTGTAGGACCGACTACTGTCTCTGGTAATGGTCATTTGGCCCTTAAAGTTCAAATGACGACCTATTTTGAAAAACTTCCGATATACATTCCGATACAGCGTGGGAATGTTCACCCCACCCCTTCGCGCTGGTCGTTCCATCTCGCTTTTTCAGTACCCGCGACTTGTGTGCCTTTTTGGTCGGCACTGTTACAGGGGGAGATTAGAAAATACCACCAAAGTAGCGGTATGTTACGGTTTTTATTGCCCATTTACCAGCGAAGCCACAAAGGCTCTCATGATATTATGCAGAAGACTGGCGGGAAATAGATTTTGTGCTGGATGTATAACATGATAATAAGGCCCATGATTACCCATGTAACAGTTGCTTAGTACACAAAACTAGAGCAACGCACAGCAAGGCAAAACCTGTGCAAAGTACAGAGGCCAGCATGCCTCTGCATAACAGATGCCATGAGAACATGCCCAACAGCAGCAACGGAGGTCCTTCTAGACCTAACACCAGTACACATTATCGTCGGTAAATATGCCAATGCGATTAGAATAGTCATTGACGGAAACAGTAATTGTCAACTCAGGGGCTTGGAACATCCTCAAAAGGAAAATTCCACTCCTTCAACTCCCAGAGTGGATGACATATGAAGAATGTACAAATTTGAGAAACACCTCACTGTAGTATTGGGCAATAAAAAGGATTGGAAGAGAGAAACGTTTGCTCAGCAAGTAAAATACTATACCATAACGTGGTATACTGATATTTCCAAAACCAAAGTGAGGACAGGGATATCAGTATTTGGACCGAAAACTAAATACTTCGAACCAATGGTAGGTGCCCATTGGTTCACTACAACCCCCATCCTTCAGGCAGAAATCTACTCTGTCGACAGATCTTAGGTAGGAACTATCAGAAACAGGAAATATTCATCTTATCCAATAGCAGCACTAAAAGCGATCAACTCAGTAACCATCAATTCGAAATTGGTCGAAGAATGCCCAGCGAAGCTGAACAAATTAGGCAAAGAAAATAAAGTCCTCCTACTCTGGGTGCCAGCTTACCAAGAGATAGAAGGCAATGAAAAAGCAAACAATCTACTTATGAAAGGAGAGAGCACTCTACTAGCTGAACCAGAACCGTTCTGTTTTCCAAGTGGAAACTAACTTAAAGCGGAACTCACAAACCTGGAAGACTCCATCCCTAAGCTGGAATGGGAATCCCCCAACGGTGTAACACACTTTAAAAAAATTCTCAGAACTTATGATAGAGAAAAACCAAAGATTTTCCTTGATTTAAGTAAGAACAATCTTCGGATTGTCAAGAGGATTTTAACAGGACACTGTCTCGTCAGTGCCTCAGTAGATTGAAGCTAAGAAACAACTGCGAATGCAACTTTTCTCGGGGAAAATGGGAAAACACCAGAACACTCAAGAAGAACTCTCAATTACTGAGTGCGCTGAGACGACAACCATTCGTGCCAAAAACTTTGATACGACTGATATCGTAGATGGAAAACTAATCTCTGTAAAACTGTTTCAGCTACTGGCTTTTGTCGAAGCTCTGAAACTGTATGATGAGTTATAACTTAAGAAAGGAGGATACAATAAATTTATAAGGTCGCGGTGAATAACTTTCCCCCTCCTATACAATCTATAGTACAATTCTTTTAAAAGTTCCTCTATATGGCCGACCTAGTTACGAAAATTGGTAATTTTTTTTTAGTGAAAAATAAGTTGGCGTTAGCTTTAACAACAACATTCTTCAGGATTGTCAAGTTGACGTTAAAGTTAGGTTATTAGGTGGTTGTCATAAATCATAAATAAAAACATAGATTATTGAAATTATTTAATAAGAATAAAGGTATTTTACCGCAGATCCGAAGAGATTTTACTTAAAGGTATTTTATAAACTTTCTCAGTCAGAATATTAACTCCCCTGTTTCTTACATTTCAGTTAAAGGGACGTAAGAACTATAATAGGAAGTGTATTTTTGTTTTTATGTTTTGACGATATCTGAGAGTTCCTAGAATTATCAAGATTATTGAATAATTATAGTTGTTTAATAAGTGAAATTAATAGAAGACTTGGAAATAGGATGATGCGTTTTATGTTATAGTTGATAGATCACCCCATTTCTCTTAATTTGTTTTTATTTCAGTACAGTTAATCACAAATTGAATTGATGTGTGCAAAAACAGCTATATATTTTCAAACATCTTATTTAAATAGTTCTTTTATATACTGTTAAACTGTATCAACTACAAAGTCTTTAGCAAAAAGTTATAAGGTAATACATTTTGTAGATATAATTTATGAAAATTTATATATAAAGATTAGAACACAATCCTCTGAGGGAAAAAGAAATACTGAAAAACTCATTAAATGTACTTTATTAAAAATAACAACATACAAAAACAGTCATCCATTCAAACTGTAATAATCAGAACATTCTCCACATTATACCTTTATTAAATTTGTGTTCACACTCCTGTCAGGAAAGCCACAAATGTTTGTTTAAATATTAACTTATTTTAAATTGCCAGAAACACATCAGAATATGTTACAACCACAACTATAGGTTTGGAATCAGTACTAAATTTTATACCTAGTGATGCGTCAACTAACAAGTATAGGATAAAAAAGAATTATTAATATCGAGTGTACTATATGATGTACGATGCCTTTCTGCTTATTTATCTTGTTATTTATGAAATGACTTTCCTTTCAAATGTGAGGAATACAAGTAAAATAAAACATAATTTTTGGTTTGGTTTGGTGTTTTCTAATACTACATCTATTACTAACCTTAAGTGCTTTTAGTGAGTCACTGTATTTTTTATTATTGTTTGTGTATCCTGTAAAGTAAAAAATATATATTTCAAGAAATCAAAAACAATATCAAACAGATTCATAAAAACTACTTACAATTGTACATATTATATATTTCAAATGTTATTTGATCTTTGGTCCCATTACCAACATTACCTTATTTAGGTCTTCTCTACTAACTCAACTTTTAAACCTGTTTTAAACATTTATATTTTAAAACTAATTTATAACAATCTGTAATGCCCGCACTGTTTCCTGAAATTAATATAAGTTTTAATCTATTTATTATCACATACATATTACAAAACTGAAAATTACTGATACAAAAACTCAAAATAATTAGAGTCCTTTTTACAAACATCTGGACTAATTTATTTTCACGAATTTGTGGACGAGCCAATGATTTCTAATACGTTTTTAAGCGTTTTACACATTTTTTGAATATCTTCCAGCCTATTCCTCAGTTCTTGATCGGTGAAAAGGTTATTTATAAGTATATAATTAGTTGCTGTAGGTTAAATAAAAGCTGCAGGTTAAATAAAAGAACAAAGTCAAGTAGAATTTGTGAATAAAAAGTCAAAAAATAATGAAAATATTTAGAAAAAGGAACCGTAAACATCAGTCAGCCAAGTGTCAGAGTTCAATTAGATTTACCACAGATTATCAATTTGAACGATTTGAACTACAGTCGATTCCAGTCTAGAGATTTTCGTTTTTTAAGCCACCCATACTGAAGTCCGCCATATTGGGAAGTTTTAGGTGAAAACAAGTATACAATCTACAATCAAATAGTTTAATTTGCTCTATCCACATGCTCTATTTAGTGATGCTTTTTAAATTATTGTGTGGATGTACTATCAATGAAGCTTACTAGTTGTTTCATTAATGCCAGGGTACCAAAAACCCAAATTAGACTTAAATTAGAGGTGAAAATTTCAATCGTTAACGAAAATTAGTTATTCAAGAGTTGGATTAAACGATACATAACTTGTTAACTTTAAGCTGACCCCGGTATAAAATGGGCTCAAAGTACTCCGTGAGAAATGCCTATACACGGAGTTGGATGCGTGAGCTATTCCCACGTACAGGGTTGTAACAGGTAGAGTAACTGTATTTCAGACAGTGTATTAATGTAAGGGTAAATTAGATCTGAATGAGATGCTTTTCTCGTCATCTTTTTGTGTCAGCTTTTCGTAGATGTGGATACAAAGATAGAGAAACCGCCCACAAGAAAAAATAATGATAAGTTTGAATGGACGAAGAAATATTATAAGATGTTATTTGCTTAATAAGGTATTTCGTTTGTAAACTTTGAAAAAAATCATCAAATTCATTTTGATTTTTTAATGAATTAATTCAAGAACTAATATTAATAATTCAAATTTAGGAAATCTTTATTTTTATATTCTATATAAAAATCTATCAAATTATAATAATACATTTTTCCCTAAAACAAATAATAGATTTAAACATTTTATTTACAACATGTATGTAATGTGGGCAATACATAAGTACAGGGTGGGTCAAATTCGACGCTATTAAATGGAAACACCCTTTTCTGTAGGAGATAGACAAAAACTAATATCGGTGCCTGGAGCTCAATTTTTGTCAAAAACATGATGGCGAAAACCGCATATCGATATCTGTTACCGTTTCGTAGTTACGGGGTGTTTTTCAAAAATATGCATTTTAAACAAATCGCTGTAACTTTTTGTTACGGAAAATTTTTGTATTTTTATGAAAATGTTTCCAAAGCACCTTTTTACGTAGAATTTAACGGTTTAAGTATAATTTTTTTAAAATTAATAATTTAAGAATTATCAACAAAATTTGATTTTTATATGGGACACCCTGCATATTTTAATTTATTGAAAAGAATTTAAAATTACCTTTCCGAAAATATAACATACTTGATATTTTGCTCGATTCCTCTTCGAGATATAGAGTATATAAAAATTCGCCCGCTTTAAATAAGTAGGATTTGAACGGCACCGGCTGTAATGCAAAAAAATTCTAGCTGTGAGCATTAATTAAAACGAAAATAATATTTGCTATGAGAGATACAGAATTTTATAACAACTTAAAATATATTTAATCAACATCAACACATTTAAACTATATCTAATAACAATAAAAATAAATAGCAAACCAAGACATGAGATTTTGCTATAGGTGTTCAACATATAACCGTCTTCTGTTTGGTTTGGGGGGACGGGACAGTTTTTGAACATTTCTCGCGGCAT